CCCTGGGCGGGGGCGCGCGAGAAGCGGTGACGTCAAGGGGCGCGCTGTGGCAGCACCTCCCCGCGCGCTAGTTAAAAAGAAGAAGAAAAGAGGGAGCGAAACATGAGAGGCTGTGTGAGAAGCTGCAGCCGCCGGCAGAGGAGACCTCAGCATCATCTAGAGCCCAACGTTGACCCTGCCTCCGCCTGCCCCGCCGCCGCCGTCGCCGTTTCTGTTCCTGCTACTGTACCACCTAAACAACTCCCGTTACACGGACAAGTGAACATCTGTGGCTGTCCTCTCCTTTTCTTCCTCCTCTTCCAACTCCTTCTCCTCCTCCCACTTCCCAGCCGCAGCAGAAAGCCCCTAACCCAACTGACACTGGCACAACTGAAAACGGTGTCATCTGCACAACTTTATCTCGCTCCTCGGGCTCCCCTAAGGCATTGGACCCATCGCCGCGTCTTTTATTTTTTGCAAAGTTGCATCGCTGAACGTATTTTTGTCCCCGTCACCTCCCTCTGCCTCTGGAGTGCCCTGCAGCCCCGCAGCCTCCTCCTGGAGCTGCGCCTTAGTGCCTCTGCTGGGCAGTGGCGTTCCCCCTCATCCTCCCGCGCCCAGCCCCTGCTGCTCTGGGCAGACGATGCTGAAGATGCTCTCCTTTAAGCTGCTGCTGTTGGCCGTGGCTCTGGGCTTCTTTGAAGGAGATGCTAAGTTTGGGGAAAGAAACGAAGGGAGCGGAGCAAGGAGGAGAAGGTGCCTGAATGGGAACCCTCCGAAGCGCCTGAAAAGGAGAGACAGGAGGATGATGTCCCAGCTGGAGCTGCTGAGTGGGGGAGAGATGTTGTGCGGTGGCTTCTACCCTCGGCTGTCCTGCTGCCTGCGGAGTGACAGCCCAGGGCTGGGGCGCCTGGAGAATAAGGTAGGCAGTCACCGGCCTCACGGACGCGTACTTGGCATATTGGCTGGGTGGGGTTCCCTGTGGCTCTGGCAAAGCCGGTGGCTGTAAGAAGGGCAAAACTTCTTTGGGGGAGTTCTTTTCATAACTTTTCTAAAGCGCTAACGTGATTCTGTTGTGTGTTCTCTGGGGTAAGCGAATAGCTTTCCCGCCCCCAGAGTCCGCGGTCGGGATGCTGTGCAAACTTGCCTATCTCTGAAAACAGACGCTTCTGCGGTACCCGCACCCTGGGCTGGGTAAATATTTTAAAAGAATCGCGATGAACAGTGTGTTTTGGATCGAATGGGGCACTGGCTGCGGTGAAACTGTAAATTAAGGTGGCTGTGGTTTCCGGTTTATTTTTCTAGGGTAAAAAGATTTGTGCCGTTTTCTCCACGTGCTCGGTTAGGGATAGGATTGAATTGTAAAGGATGTTGAAGCATGGTTGGTTTATGATCCCCAGCCCCGTCAGAGGGGGGTGTCTTGCATTACATTAGTTAAACCAACAGAAAGGAACTCTTGGTCCTCCGGTTAGGGACCTGAAAAACACTGGCGAAAGATTTTGCTGGGGCGTTATTTATCACGTAAAACTGAGACGATTCTTCGTCATTTTGTAACATTATAAATTCAGACTTTCAGGGTCAGTTAGGTGTCTTGGAAGAAGATCTTCTCTAAGAATTTGTTTTAAGAGTAATGGCATTTACGTTATCCTTGTGTTAATAAGTTTAACTAAATACTAACATGGTGTTTGTTGACTGTAAAGACACGCTTGTTTTTGAGTTTGCAATATCATTCTTGCCAGGAGATGCAGTCATGGGTGGTATTCACTGTACACCAAGGAATGATTGCTGGGTCACGTCATTAACAATCACTGCACGTGAAATAAACAATCAGGTGTCTTTGCTCCCCCTCCCTTTCCCCATTTTAGGTTTAATTAAGAATTCCTCTGTTAGAACACTGCCAGTTGTCAAGGTCTGAGAGACTCTTGGAAAACTCGTGCTTCAGTCTTGCTGGCCCAGGCATAAAAAAAAAATACCCAGGCTGAATCTAATTTTTATGCTCAGTTCACGGTAGATTTCACTCTATTCTCATGTAAACAGCTCCTACGAATCAACATATGTGTCTGGGTGGTATCTCTCACTTTGTTTTGTAACAAAAAGCCATATTGCATCATTTAATTTGCTCAAGTCATGCAAATAGGAAAAAATCAATAGGACAAAAAGGGGTCGACTTATCCTCCTCCCCACTAAACTGCTGCCCACACACAGAGTCCTGTTGCTTATGGCAAAAGAATAACAACAACACCATTGTATTTGTTAGTTGGTTCACTAATGGGTGAAACTAGAGAACATCATTCTCTTTCAGTCCCCAGCTCTGTCCAAATGTTCATGCCTTTTGAGGGAGCATTTGTCCAACTCCTTCTATTCCCAGATGAGTGAGAACTGTCTTGCTGCAGGTTTTCAGCTGCAACTCTCTTTTTATTCTTACCATATGCAGCAGGAGCCTGAGATTCAGGGAACAGATATTCCAGGATTTTATTCAAAACAATGTCATTAAGCTCCCGTGTTGCAATTGAATTAAGTTTCAAAATAGCTACATTCAGGTCACCTTAAAGGTTTTATCAGGAGCCCTAAAGAACCAGCAAATTCAGAGAAAAGTTTAGAAATATTTGCCATTAAGTCTCCCTTGGTGTAATATATACTATGAATATACTGATGATCTAGGGACCCCTGCAGTACTCAACTCTTCCAGGGACATATGGAATGAAAATTTTGTTCTTCACTAAATGGTGGGGAGAAGGGGAAGGGGGATGGGACCGAGGGGAGTTATAGCCCTTAAGAGAAGTTATATAATTTTTTTTAAAGAAATCATTCTTTAGGAAGCAATCTGCCATGTTAACTATACACATTCCTTTCTGTTTTATGTGCTTCCAATCTTCAACAAACCCCTACTCATTTGGAAAGTCTGTCTGAATTAAGTTTGGTACACTAGACTTTTGCTGGTTCCATTACAAGTGGTTTATAAACTAACAATACCCAAATTGTTCAAAACAGAGATTTGCTATAGCTATGCATATGCATTCTTGACCTATATTAGTTCTCAAGTTTTAATAGTTTTTAAAACATGTTATTTTATAATAAACTTCAGTGTTTCCCTTTTTCCCGTAAGCCTTCCTGGATTATAATATATGTTAGGATCTTATTTCATAATGTGTATACAGGAGAGATGATTGCTATTTGAAAGGGCCCTTTTTTTGTTTATGGAAGAAAAAAAAATCCCCAGAAACATTTCTGCAGCTTTTCAAGAAACTACAGTAGTAGGTTTTTCCTACAGGAAGAAATTTCTTAGACAAATAGATAGTAGCAAACTAGGTAGGAATATTAGCATGCTCAACCATACAATTAAGTCCTGTTTCTAGGCTAAGAAATTTTCTTTAATGAACTAGAATTGAGTTCAATTCTTTAGTCATGGAATTATGTTCCATTTTAATTTTTTATATATTTTAATAATGTTCTATATTGTAATAAGATTGTTAACTACCTTGACAAATAAGTACTGTCAAAATTTAGGAAGTCATATTATCTTAGCAATATTATCGCACTTTCTAAATACAGCATGCTAAAAGAATCTAATTCTCATTAACCAGATTGAATCTGCAACCAACTAAAATACCCCCATTTCTAAAACTTAACTTGTAGCCACAGAGGCATAGAAGCTCTCTCTACCTTGGGTGGTTTCACAGCCAAAGCTGTCAAGGAATGGGTGAAAAGTAATTGTTTTCAAGTGTGCCCTTTTACAATCATTTGTTTGCTCTGGCTCTTTCAGGCACAAAGGCTATTGTTGAACACATCCAACTAAACAAATAACTCATCCTGGGGTCCCTTTAACAGCTGCCTTAGTACAATGATCTATTTACATATTAGCCTAAAATTGAAACTGAACTCTTTAATGACATAATCCAGCACTATAGTTCAGAGACACATGTGTTCTACCCAACAGCTGAACAACCTTGTAGGCATATGATTTTTAGAAATAACTTTTTGTGTACCAAGTGATCTTAAGGCGACATCTTAATATACTGTCATGTATTTTCTCCTTTTGTCCCCTCATCGAACCCGTGTGGGTGCCTTTTGCCCTCTTTGTTTAGTTACTTGGTAAATAAAGAGAAATACAGAAGGTCTCTGTCACCCATTTTACTATTTGTTGATAAGCTATAGTTGGAGGCCACGCTTTACTGTGTATCCCCTATTTATCTTACCCTTCTTCTATGGATTTTACTTTCGTGTGGCTAAAGATTAAAGGATGACCTGCCAGATGTTATAAATTAGCAACAGCCACAATGATTACTAGGCATGCTGTAATAATGTCTCAAAGTTTTACATGATTTCTGAAGTATATTTAGTTTTAACCACTATGATGGTTTTGTATACAGCTTTCAAAAATTGAAACAGGAAATTAGCTTAAATTTCTTCTTAAGATTGACGGCATCATCAGAAATAAAGTTAAGGACCTATATAAGACACAGACACATAGGCAAAAAAGAAGAAGAAATTACGCTACACACACCCAGACTCATCTGTCTAAAACCCTGTTGCAGCTTTGGCTGAGTCAGTTTAATTGACTTCAGTAAGACTATTGGTTCATTGAAACCAAAGCCAGAATGATGGCTCTATCTATCTTCAAATAGGTATTTACACTGCAGACCTCACACAGAGCAAAATGTTACCATCCTGCTGGGCCGGAACAGCATGAAACTTTAAAAAGAATAATATTATACTTGATTTCAGATAATTTATTGAATCCTACTTCTGAAACTTTTGATGAGAGATCTGTGGCCAGAACACATTCCAAAAATTGTAAAAGACAAAATTCCTTAGGCACTAAAATCAAGCTCTTCCTGGATAGCAGCTGAGAGAGTATACGAGGATCATTTTGTTTCAGCTATAAAAAATGGAAGCATGCATAATCTCCATAAAACCAAAGGTAATTACATTCCAGTTTTTCAGCCAGCAAAAGAGGTGGCTTCAGCATCCTGCAGTTGTTCTGTTCTTAGTGGACTGCTATATGATAAACAAACAGAATTGCTTTATGATAAACAAACAGAACAGAGTTGAACACTATTAATATTGAATAGATCTGGTGAGGTCTGCCAGAGTATGGACAATAAAAGACATTTAAAACATTCTTGGAATGCAAATTCTAAGGGTGTAGTCCATGTTTCCTTTTAGAAAATTTTATCCATTTAAGCAATTGTTATTTAAATAAATCGATAAGACTGTAAATATAATTGTGATTAATAATAATTTTTCTGAATATTGTAGCTACAACCCATTATACGTTTTTGCAAAATATGATCACTTCTATTGGACTTGCTGCATACTAAAATTTCAGTATGTTTGTATTCAATTTTTTTTCATTACTTTGCTCTTGCAGATTCAAATTTTTGTGATGACCTGGAATATCATTATCCCAAAAACCAGAAGCCATAGATTTACCCAAATTAGAACCTTAATTTGTTAAAGGAATATTTGTTTAAAACAGTGCTCTAGAATTTAAAATGTTAAATTTGATTGATAGTTCCAAAGAAGTAATAAAGTATAAATATAATTAGATGAATTGGGAAAAGGTTTAAAATTCAATTCCATTATGTTGTTTTTAATGTAAAAAATCAATACTTGATTTTGACAGCACTACATTTCCCAAGTCAAATATTGTGTTGATATTGCCTTCTATATATATTAAAGGAGGTTCTGAAGGCAGGTTTTTAAAGTTACTGCTAAACAACAAGACCTATTCTGTCTATTAATTGCCAAACTCAATGAATCAGTAACTCAAATTGGTCTTATTGAAATAAAAGACATGTCACTGTAAAAATTGTGATGAAGGTATGCCATTTTTCATTAAAATTCACTACATATCATTCAAAAATACTTCGTTAAGCTCTTGTGTTTATTCATGCATATAACATACCTGAGGACCCAGTTAAAAAATTTTTCCTGGCTAAGATATAATGAATAATAAAAATTGGTTGTAAACCTGTTTGATTTCACTTTGGATATTATTTTTAGAAAACATAAACGGCAAATCCTACTTTAGAAAACTTTCCCTAATGCAGTCTGCAGATTGAAAACTAATTGAAATTTGAGAAATGTAACCCAAGTATATTTTTGACATAATCATATTAAGAATTTCAGGAATGAAATAGATTTTCATGTAAGACACAAATAAGTCGTGTCTTGAAAAATTCTGTTTTGCATGCAGTTGGACAAAGGTTGGGATTTTAAAGCTAAGTATCATTCAGTATACACTTTGAGGCAGAATGAAATGATAAAGTCTTAAAGAGTCTAAATATAATTGTCTTTTATTTTTTCACACCTGAAATACAGATGAAGTCTTTGATTTGCAAGAATAAGAAGCACTTTTATGTATCCCTGCCTTTTGTTCTCCCAGCCCAGTCCCAGAGACTATACTTGTATCCTTATAAAGGCATTCTGTATTGTGACACAGTAATTCTTTTCAGAAAACTTCATTGGCTAAATTAGACTTTTCTACTTACACAATTGCAAAAAAATAATAACAATACCTAACTTTACCTAACTAAAAAAATTGTTTGTTTCTGATTTATGACTTTCAGATATTTTCTGTTACCAATAACACAGAATGTGGGAAGTTACTGGAGGAAATCAAATGTGCACTTTGCTCTCCACATTCTCAAAGCCTGTTCCACTCACCTGAGAGAGAAGTCTTGGAAAGAGACCTAGTACTTCCTCTGCTCTGCAAAGACTATTGCAAAGAATTCTTTTACACTTGCCGAGGCCATATTCCAGGTAAGAAAAAAAAATACATAAGTAAAATAAACCACTGCACAATATCCTTGTAAGATACCTGTGCTTAAATGCTTATTTATAAGACTTGTAAAATTTATCTTGTCTTTAAAATTACCTATTTTACCTCATAATTAACATTTCCAAATTTATAACTCTTATTGCCTCTAAAGGGAATATTGTAATTTCAGTCTGCAAATAGTATAATTGGTTTTGTCGGCTTATTATATATTTCTTGTTAAGCTGATAATACAAGTGGTAATCTTTATACACGTTGTATTCTCAATCCAAATTCCTCGTTGGTGCCTTCTTTATCCATCACCATCAATATCAAGGCAACGTCTTTTTCTACACAGCTGATACATAACTGGAGAATGTCCACTGACTTGTAAGATAGATCCTTAAACACAATACGATTAGCAATCCAAAAAAGTAATATCTTACAAAGCACTTTCACATAAAATGATGAATTTTCTCCTCAAAACCCCTGTAAGGTAGGTAGAAACAGTGGAGTCCTCTCCAATTGACAGATGAGGAAATCTGAGCCTTGGGAGAAGTCAAATGCCTTACTCAAAGTTATACAATGAGAAGGTGATAGGAGAGATATGGACGTTCTCATGCATATAGTGTCATGAACATGCCTAGTCACTATTGTAGTTTGGACTCTAATAAGCATATATATTCATTAATTAATTTTTATCATCAAAAATTTGTAAACTTTTGTTACTGTTGCTTTAGTTGGAAGACTCAACAGAGAGGAAAAAAATAATTTAATAAGACATTCTATTTAGTTAGGCAAAGTCGCACACAAATCTACTGAAGATTAAGCAGTATTTAAGGAAAAGACAAGTTTAAGAACTGTAGAATGCACTGAGAGAATTTTTTTAAGTGCTATGTACATTTTACTTTTTTCTCTGACTCAGGAAAGTGTAGATTTTCATATTTTTAATATAGCTCTCTTAATAACCTTATAAAATATTTTGACTTGGGTTGCTTGCTTCCTTGAATATAGCATAACATATATCTAAACCCATTCAATATGAAAATATTATTATTGTTTTCATAAACCACAGCCATGTTTCTAAGCCTTTTCTCAAGCAGCTGTTTCTTCCTCTTTATCACATTCCCCAGAGCAAAGCAGAATAGGTCACGGTTGCCTAGATGGCCTACAAAGAAGTGATAACAGATTAGATACCATAAATGTTTGCTGGAAACTTCAAGTCTTGAACACTTGCCTTTAGGACTATAAATTGAAAGTGATATCAACACTAAGCATTTTTATTTACCATTATCTACTTTAGATAAATACAACATGCTGGATTTGGGGACTTAACTGTGGGGGTCTTTATATATTTGAAGTAATTTTAGCTTCAGAAAACAATAAAATAAAAGTAATATCCACTGAAAGAGAGAGCACAGCAAACAGCTCAGAGCCAGAACTGCAAGCACCTCACTCCCCAGATCAACATATGTGGTGACGAATGACAAATTTATTTTTCTACAAAGTTTGTATATATGTAAAACTGCTGAAGTGCATCAAGATGTCAAGTGCTTTTGGTGGCCACCCAGGCTGCTTTGAAAGATAACCAGATGAAAGCTCCACTCTAGAGGTGGACAGAGCAGCAAGGGTGCTTTCCAGAGACTATGGAAGGCTTTACCCACAAGCAGAGGGGGCTGCCCCTGCGTACCTCAAATGCTAATGATCATTCTCAATACTTGCCCCAAAAGTGAGCTATAGTAACACACTCTTTGCATTACTTATGCTAATCGATTTGTTGCCTGGATGGATCCTTGGCATGTAGGTTACCATTTCCTAAAGTACAATAAATAAGATGCTAATCCCCACCCTTCCCAGCCCCTGCTCCCAGCAAAGAAGTGTCTTCACAACTGTGAAACACAGATTTTTTGGAAATTACTATAAAAGCAAATTTTAATAGTTTTCCCTTAAGTTGATTTAATGATATGGTTCACTTTCCTCTGAAGTTCAAAGTGTTGGAAAACAGCTACATTGTGATTCTTTTTTAGAAGAAACTGATCAACATATTTTTGACTATCCTCATTAATAGCTTCATCTTTCTATACAACAAGAACTTGAAGAGGAAGGTACCCCGAGGGATGTATTTTGCTAAAATAAGGCAAATGCTGAAAGAATTGGGAGACAGAAAATAATTCCAGAGACATCTTCATTTTTTTCCTATTGCCCAATACATGAAGAAATGTATATATAAATGACCTAATGATTTGCTTTGACTCCACGGCTTTAAGAAAGCACAGTCGCTTTAGAATATTCATATACCTACAAGATAGCTACTTCCTAGAATGCTTAATCAAGAAATAGTCATAGTCTGCTTATTTTTCCAAAAATGGGAAAAGATATTACAAATCAATATAGTGAGTATATACTAGAGTTTTATGAATCATAATATTTTCCAGTTGTGAATTCACTTAGGGAAGTAAATTCTCAAAACTTCTAAAATCGCCAAAAACTCTCTGCTCGTCTCTGCAGGTCTTTTCTTCTGCTTAACTGAGCAGGGTGGCTACTTTGCTAATCACTAAAAGAAGGCATAACATACTCTATGGGAAGCATATCTAATGGACATCTATTGGCCTTGCTTCTTCCTCTATATCTGTAGTCATAATGATCTTTATCACTCTTCGACCTCATCTTCTCAGCAGTAGGTTATTGTAGTGTGAAATGTCTGCACACAATTAGTTCAATTGGTTTAATCCTGTTGCTAAGAAGGCCAAGGTCAAGGGTTTGATTCAACTGAATTTTTCTAGTCCTTAGCCATTCCTAACCCTGGTCAGTTAGCTTACACATGTGCCTTCTTAGTCCCAAGGAGAGTAAACCAGAAGGAGTAAATAGATGGATATATCAAAATCCACCACTTCTATTAGGATATGTTCATGAGTAAGTCTTACTCATGAAGAGTCCGTAACTCTTTTTTTTTTTTTTTTTTTTTCCTTATCATGATGAGCAGCACTTACAATGAGGAAAAATAACTTTTCCCTGGAATACATGCTGAGAGAAAAGGGAGAACTCAGAATACTCCAAGAAAGCATTTATTTTTTACGTCAGTATTTATCGGGTGCTTTGTGGTATAGCATAACCAGGCTCACTATCCAGGAGAGTATTTACAGGTCCAAGATAGTTGATAAATGATCAGAACTTAAAAAAATACAGCTGCTAGAATATTCAGTGTTTGTTCATTATTAGTAGACCTGACCACATTATGATGATCCTGAGTGAGCTAAACATGCACTTTCAGTAAAATGCCAAACAAAAGGGAACCCTGGCAATAAATGTTAAAATATATCTCCCTACTCTTCATTGTTCACTGCAGAATCGGGTCATTTAAGGTAAAATATTAATAAAAGTGTTAGATACTTAAATTCAAATAAAATTACATGATTGTAAAAAAAAAAAAAAAAAAAAGCCCATGTATTTAAATGAAATCTTCTGAACTGGTTTTCACACTTCGGTTATTCAATTTGTCTAAATTACATAAGAAGCTTGGAGTAAACTTATTGTCTGTATTTTTTCTTAATTTGCTAAGCAGGCATCATACCTCTGGAGCCACCAAGTTTATGAATATGTATTCATTAATCTTTAGATATTTCATTTGAAAATGACTTCTCATTTCCTCATGTTTGTCGCAGTTACTAATTCCATTTAAATTGGAATCGACCACCAGCATTGTTAATTAATTTCCCCTTAAGATGGTATTGGTTAGTAGACAGTAATGCTGAAATACACATGTTTTTTAAGCAAGCTGGACATTTCTTTTGAATTGCATTTTGAAATTTTCCTGTGACCCTTCGGCAAACATCACATTAAAACTATATTTGTCACTCACATATCCAGTTATAAATATGACCATGGTGTGACAGTCTTCCTGCATGCATAATACAGGCATGGAGATTTTGTTGCCTGGTGGTAAATATTTCCAAAACAAGATCTAGCCCAAAACTGTGCAAAGAGTTTGATTTAACAATTTAGTTTTTTTTTTTCTTTTTACCACTAAGAGACTTGTTTCACACTATTAGGCAGTTTTCATCTGAATGCTTACCCATTTAAGAAGGGAGGGGAAAAGTTATCTTTTGCAAATGGTGACTTGCTAAAGATGAGTAAATGCTTCTATGGCCTTCATTCCTCTCCCTAGTTTCTAATCCTTGAATTTTTTTCAAAGAAAGATAACTTTCTGATTGCCTTGCCCCTCCCGTGGAGCACTACCCAGCTGCTTGCCTCTTTTTCTCTGTGCCCCCCAACCGCATGCACACACACACACATACATACACACACACACGCACACACACGCACTCCCAAGGACATCTGCTCTTACTTGCCTGGTTGCCAAGACAAGATCCTCTCCAATAGCCTAGTCAGAAATTGGCAGTGAAGAGTCTCTCTCAGAAAGTTCAGGGTGAGACATTTCACTCAAAAGTTAGGTCAAAATGTACTTCAAGCTTTACAACCGTTTGGGACCTTCACATTCTAAGATAAGTGTTAGGTTTGAGGGGTCCTAGGTCAAGCACACAGAAAGTAAACTTGTGGTGTCTTTTATGCACCATTGAGGAGTCTCACTTGGCTGATTCCAAATTCTTAGAAATCCTTGCTAAATCTGAATTTGTTATACAACTCCTAAATTTCTACTGAGCTACTCAGTATGTTTATCACAAAATTGATGAGGTATGAAAATCTAGTTTGTTATATAAAAATAAAAACTTTAGATATATGATATAAAGTATAAGACCAGAAGCAACAATTTAGTTCCACATATAAGGCTGACTCTGGCAGCACCATCGTATTTTGAGAGCAGAAATCATTAGAATGTGGAAGTGAGTCTTTCTAATATGTCCCAGAAAGGTAACACCTTATTAACTCAAATTGTAAAGGTAATATCAAAACTTTTTTGCCATAAAGTTCTTTTATTTCATATTCAAAGATAGCTGTCTTTATATAACAAAATATTTAATGCATAAGAAAAGAAAAAACATCTTTCTTTTAGATCCTATTAAGTAACTCTGTTGTTATTTTTGTTTTGACTTGTTGATATGTCAGCTTTTCTGTTTGAGACGATTGAAGGAATATTTTAAATATAATTTTTCTATTACAAATTAATCATTATCTCCTATAAGTGAAGTACAGGAAAAACATATTTGAATATGGAGGTTCTGTTATAAGCATCAATTCATTGCTTGATCATTACACAGTGCATCAGTTGTTTATTATAGTATATAATGACCTTGTGTTATTCATCAGATTTATTATTTAATCTTATGTAAGTGGCAATACACTAAGATTTGTAAAATGACCAAAACTGGCACCTGATGGACTGTCTCCTTCTTGATTCTTGTTTGTTCATCTGAGGAAGTTATTTAGTATTGTAGGAAAAAATGCTAAATACTGATGATGAGATAAGCTCACAGGTACAACGTACAGTAGCTAAAGAATCTTGAAAAGACATCAATGCAATAGCAGATAAATGCTGAGTTTGTCTTATTTGTACCTCACAGGAGCCTTTTAATACCCAATACAATATTATTTCACTTTTACCACAATTTTTAAATTTAGTTTAAAACACAAATAGGAATCCCAATCCCTGATTTTTTTCCTTCTTTTTATTTAGTATGTATGTATGTATTTATTTATTTGGATAGTGTCTCACTCTGTGGCCCAAGCTAGAGTGCAGTGGCATGATCTCAGTTCACTGCAACCTCCACCTCCCAGTTCAAGTGATTCTCCTGCCTCAGCCTCCCGAATAGCTGGGAGTACAGGTGCATGCTACTATGCCCAGGTAATTTTTATATTTTTAGTAGAGACGGGGTTTCACCATGTTGGCCAGGCTGGTCTCAAACTACTGACCTCAGGTGATCCTCCCACCTCAGCCTCACAAAGTGCTGGGATTACAGGCGTGTTTTTATTTCAGTCTAGGTTCTCCCTAAAATATCCATCTAGTTTCTTAAAATTGTTTTCCTCATCTTATATCTTTCAAATAAGGTGGTTTTACTATGACACTAAGTGTTTCTAATGAGTGTTTTTATGTTTTTTAAAGGTTTCCTTCAAACAACTGCGGATGAGTTTTGCTTTTACTATGCAAGAAAAGATGGTGGGTTGTGCTTTCCAGATTTTCCAAGAAAACAAGTCAGAGGACCAGCATCTAACTACTTGGACCAGATGGAAGAATATGACAAAGTGGAAGAGATCAGCAGGTTCATAAAGATAAATGCTCTTTAATCTTTAAAAAAACCCAACTGACAAATCTTGTGGTTTTGACAGTGAATCAACTGTCTGTGCTTATGTTCAGCAGCTATATCCTCCAGATGCTTTATTTTTTTCTCTGTGGTAGTTTGTTTCTCTAAAATTCTAGCTTAAATGCTTTTAATACTTAGACTACTAATCTTATATTATGAGCTTGGCTTCTCTATGACTCATGTGAATTTTATGGGTATAGTTTTAAGCCTGAATTTTATGATTGTTGTTAGCCTATGGCACTGTGAAAATGTTCAGCTCAATTACTATTGGCAAATCAGATTTTTCTAAATAGATCTTAGAACTTTCTCTCTACATGCCTTCCATAAGGTTTATTTATTATGAGTAAAACTGATTTTAACTATAGTCACTGAAAGATGAAACAATGAGATTATGACTTCTGAAAATATATACATGTTTTGATTCTCTTATTTTACTTTCTGATAGAAGGCTGTTCTGTTGTTTGCCATTGAAAGAATTTAAAAGAACCACTTAAAAGAATTATATTGTAACCCTTGGGTTAGCAGCACTGCATGGGTTTCAAAACCATGATTCCTAGAGGAAATAGAGTTTGAAAAGGATGCCAAGTGCATCCCTTATCTCCTTCATCTCAAGAAAAGCTTACTGGTTTTCTTTAATTTGTTTAGAAAGCACAAACACAACTGCTTCTGTATTCAGGAGGTTGTGAGTGGGCTGCGGCAGCCCGTTGGTGCCCTGCATAGTGGGGATGGCTCGCACCGTCTCTTCATTCTGGAAAAAGAAGGTTATGTGAAGATACTTACCCCTGAAGGAGAAATTTTCAAGGAGCCTTATTTGGACATTCACAAACTTGTTCAAAGTGGAATAAAGGTTGGCTTTTTAAATTTTATTTATTTTTGTGCTGGCTATGTTAATTTTATTTTAGTGTTACCTTCCTCACTGAAGGTATTTCTTTGTAATAAAAGAAAGAATCTTGCAGGAGAAAATAAGGCGACCACATAAGGAAACAATAATTACAGCACCTGAATTAGGACAGTGACATTAAATTTCTGTTATTTGTTGACTATCGTGCAATGCAATCGAATTGATATCTGACATGCTTTCCCCATGTAATTGACACATTTAAAGGAATCTTTGGCTTTATAAAGTATTTGTTTAAATATTGTTTAATGGGCATAGCACAGGATTGTACATCCATTTGCTAGTAGAAGCAAAGAGGTCTTTTGGTTATTTTGGCAATTGCAAATCATTCTTTCACCATCTCTGTTTTTGAGTCTGTCTCATAAAAAATACTACTTATACTATGACTTCCTTATACAATGTTTTTACAGGTAAGTCAAATATTTCTATAATTAACCATCTATATAACATATATTGCCCTCTTTTTCACTTCTCTAACTTGAATTCTCATGTTAAATAACCTAGGTATGTAAACAAAATTATTGTCAAGTTTGTTTCACAAGAGTAACACAGTACATTAGCAGTACTAAACTGTAAAGCAAATTATGACATTCTAAAATTAAGACACATGTAATAGCTCATGCCTATTTTAGAGTGAAACAAAGTAACAATATGATTTGGGAAGAACTGGTTATCCTTTTCATTTCTTAACTGAAAAAAAAAAAAACCTAAAGGAGGATTTATAGTCTTCTACTCACATAGAAATGAGCTCTTTCTTGCTTTGTTGTGCTGTGCTCAGTGGTAAGAAGACCCAAATCAGAAGAAACAAGTCAGGAAAAATACAGATATATTCCTGCTCTCTATTTCATTTTCTTATTGTGTGAGAGTTAAGATGACTCCAGTCTTTACTTTTTACCATTGTAAATAATGTTATTTATTATTCATATACATTTTACTTAATCTGGTCATGGATGACTTCCTTAATATTCATTTACAGGAAGGGCATTACTGAGTTGAAGATTATAACCATAATACATATTGCCAATTAGCTTTAAAAATATTTTCAGATATTTGAGAATAATAATAATTATTTGAGAGAATATTAACAATAGTTTTCAAATGTGCTTTGAGTAAAAATGTTAGTATTAAAAAGATATGTATGATATAATGTAGATGTAAGGAGGGCTCAGAATACTGGAAAATGGTTTTATAACAAGAACTGATGTTCTTGTTTCTACCTCAATTTGACTGCCTTTTAAATCAGTGTTCCTTCAGCATCCCTATTTCAATTTATACCCTTCATAGGGATATCTGATGATTCATTAGAATATTCAGCTCTGACATGGAGATGTTTCATCATGCAATAAAATTGTACAAGCAAGGATATAACAGTGCCTTGGTTCTGAGTATGTGTGTTTGGCAGTCTTCTAGGAATTCTGCATAACTTGGCCAAATTTGCAAGAAAACTTGCAGAATTTGGACCTCCTTTTCCAGAAGAGCTCCCGAGTTTTAGGGGCCTAAAATATACTTCAAAATCTATTATTCTAGCGACTGATATGACATATTTTAAGGTGCAATATTTTAAATTCCTTTTGTGTTTTAGCACTAGTTATGCCCACAAGATAGGAATATATCACATGGATATCAGAGTGTGTATAGTGAGTAATGAGATCGCATCCTTCTTACTTCAAGCAGGTTATGCTGCAGGTGGCCTTTATCTCAGTGTCTATGGAACTCCCTGATTGGAAGAGTTAAACAAGGCCACTGTCAGTATGATGGGGCAAATACCATCACACTTATGAGTTGATCATAGCACTGATTTTGGTGGTTGCCCCTCAGATACTTGTAATGTAAAAGAGTTTTCACAGCTATTTTTGGCTTCTTTAATATATGAAAGTTATCATATATTTATGACAGGATTCTGTGTTTGTCAATAATCATTTTGCATAAGTAATGCTTATACTTTATGAATTTTCATAAATTATTATACATATCAACTCTTCTCTATTTTTTCAGTTTTAAAATCCTAAGAGAGGGCATAAAGCTGTTTAACAGACTGAAGTATTAATTGCAATACTCAAATCACAGAATTGGTAATACATACTAAACCCAGCCTCCACATGTTTGAAATTGAGAATAATAAACACCACAGTGCAGAACCCCTTCACGATTACATTAATTGATGACCAGGAGGAATATGTTAAGTCAGACATAAGGAGGAATTGCTGATTATAAGAGTTTCTAAAATATATTGCTGGCTATAAAAAAAATCTGGCATTCCTTGTCTGCTAATGTAAATTAATTGGGAGTGATTTCTGTCACATGGTAAAGGCTGACCTTTTTGTGGCGAACAGTCGGACTTGCTTATCTCTTTAAACCTCTACCAACCCTGATTCTTACAACTGCTTAGAGGGATGCCATCAGCCAAGAGCCAATCATAAGGGAACTTGGACAACTCTTCCTAAATGGGTCCTGACTGAAGCTAAAAAGATGATGTCTTTTTTTTAAACACCAAGATCGTGCTGTGTAAATTGTAGGAGATTGTAGTACCCTGGGGGCTAAACTGTCTATAATTCCAGAGAAAAAGTTAATCTGCAAAAAATGCAAAGCACAAGCTAAATAATTAACTTCTTTTTGCTATAGAAAAAAAAGTTGTAGCATTGAGATTAAAGAGTAAGTCAGGAATATGTTTTTAAAATATGTAGTGATTTGATACGTGATAGTGTACTCTACAAGCCAATCACTAATACTGGCACTGTGAAGAATGGGCCACGTGTCAAATTGATGAACAAACTTTAAAACTTTCATTGTGTGTGTGGCTGTGTGTGTGCATGTGCACATGCAGCATTGTTATTCTGTTGTTATCGTTTTATTCCAAAGGGCAAAAATTACAAAAATTTTACTATCTCCCGAAAGAAACACTTCTTTAAGATACTCGGTGATTTGAAATCTTTAAATTGAGCTTATATCTGAGCTCTGAAATCAGAGCTTCTGGCAAGTACTAGAACCAGTTTTGTCTGTGTAAAGTCCTTGGCAGTGACAGACTAATGGCTCTCAAGAATGGCTTCACAGTACGATCACCCAGAAGCTTTCAAAAATTCTTATAGCCAAGCTGGGTGCGCTGTCTCATGCCTGTAATTCCAACACTTTGGGAGGCCAAGGCAGGAGGATCACTTGAGGTCAGAAGTTCCAGACCAACCTGGCCAATATGGTGAAACCATGTCTTTAATAAAATTACAAAAAAAAAAAAAATAGCCGGGCATGGTGGCCTGTGCCTGTAGTCCCAGCTACTCCAGAGGCTGAGGCAGGAGAATCACTTGAACCTGAGAGGCAGAAGTTGCAGTGAGCCCAGATCATGCCACTGCACTCCAGCCTGGGCAATGGAGTGAGACTCCATTTCAAAAAAAAAAAAAAAAGAAAAAAACCAACTTCTTGTACCCCAAAATAGTCAGAATATCTGGGGTTGGCACCCAGGCATCAATATGTTTTTAAAGCTTCCCCAGGTAATCTCGACATGTAGCCAATTTGAAAACCACTGATAGAGACTGAGCCAAACTTCTGGGTCAGTTACACATTGAATGAGACATATTTTCTCTGCCAAGCCTACACCCAAGTCCTATTCCTGACTTAACAACTAAGAGCAGGTGGTTGGACACCAGTTGTCATTTGCCCTGTACCTTTTCTCATTTACTTAGTTTATATATATATCTTACCAATTTGAGTGAGGAATTGGGTTAATTCTGGCAACATGTAAGATGCTTGATATAAAGGATACGAAATACCATTTGAAAAAAAAATGATATTTAAAAATCTCAAGTTAATTCTAACTGGGAAATGGCTTTACCCATTAATCTTTTTCTGTTTTTATTCCATTTTGGAATCTGGTGCTCAGCTAGTTGGTGAAATTGCTATTATTCTTGTTCTTAAAACATATGGATTGTGATTATATATGTAAACCCTTGTTAAAAGCGACAAGGCCACCAGAAGATACTCTAGTGTAATTTCACCAAAGCGCCCCTGGCTGCCAAGAATGGGAGAGTCAGCCTTAGCTTTGCATGTGTGTTAAAGGAAGGACATGCCCGCACCTGTCACTTGACAGGGTGGCCCCTCAAGGAAACTAGCAAACACCATTCTCTGCCACTTAGTTCTTGCAAGTGGTCAGAGGACAAAGAGGTTCACACCCTCAGCAGCCCTCGGCTGGCAGCACACAGCAGACACAGCTGAAAGGCTTGTCTATCATTGGAACAAGTGTCACTGGACTCCTGTCCCTCTCTATCTACTTGGATCCTCATTTCAAAAGATGCTTTTAGAAGCAGTCCTTTTACCAGGGGAGGAGAGGACATGAGGCTGAAAGCTGCTAATTGTCCGGGTGACTGAGCCAATTGAGGTGGAGCTCTTGAGAGACAGCAGTCCCGGTGCCTGGGAGTCACAGGAGCATGTGGAGGAGGATGCAGGGTCCACCAGGGCAAGCCCTGATGGGGCAGCCTCTGGTTTCACAGGCTTGTAAATCACAAACATAATAATGAGTATCAAAAATTTAGTGAAATCTAAGTCCTCATCAACCATGGAGGCTGATGTTCCATTTCTCTGAACTTTGTCAAACCTAAATTTTTACATTTTTTTCTTTGACTTGCAACCGTAAGGTAACCCATGAAGCATTAGTGTGTTTTTGCTTGAGTGAAATGAGTCAAAGAAGATTGAGAAGCAATTTATTTTTCAAAAGTAGTATTGGTAACACAGCATGCATACACATTATACACACATACACATATGGTGATTATTAGATCATGTAACAAATGCTTCCCCAGAAAAACTGCTGAGAACTCTGCTTTTAAGTACGCGTTAGGTTAGAATAAAGCCCGTGTTAATAGAAAGAAAGCAACAGATTATATTTGTTAAACATTATAGTAGAAGAATCACCATTGTGGCACATTTTTGTATACTGAATGACATTTTTGAACTTTTTGACT